AGAAAATAGTTATTCATACCGATTTTGTCTACCGATCAAGCTACTGCATCATTAATGTAGGACCCCACATTGTTGACGGAGCAAGATGTTTTGCGTAAAGATAGTGTTTATTTTTTTATTATGGGTTCTTGAAGAAATCTTGGGTAAAGAAAATTGTATAACGAGAAAAGAAATGCTAACGGGTATGAAATTTGCTAATATTCCTATTATTCCTATTTTATGTTTGTGGTTTGCTTTGTTTTGTTGATCTTATTTCTTTATAGATCTTTGGACCGTCTGTGAAAAACTCTGGACCCTGACTGGAACATTTCCATGAAATAGTATATAATAAATTTAAATCTTAATTTCTAATTAGGAACTTTCAAAATGCTTATATTTGTAAATATTCTATTAAAAATCATTTAATATTACTTATTTTTATTATGATAGAAAATGTAATGATTGCCAAATTACTTAGTTATAATTAAACTATAGCTTACCATTATCTTTTTCGCAGTTTCATCTTTCAAAGGCTTCGTCTTGAGCCAAGGGTTTAACCTCGTTGTTATGTAAAATAGTCAACTACGTACATATAACGATGTAATGATAATGTATAAATATGTACATATATAGTTAGTGAATAAAGTTGCCGGGCATAAGTCAGGGCGACCAGCCCAGGGCCCTAAATCGATTCATTTGTAATAATTGATTCTAAATGAAAATCTACACTTTATTTATATTTAAATACTGTATTTGCGCGAAATAATATCCTGGGATGTCATTTCAGAGGAATAGTAGTGTTGTTAGCCGAAATTATTTTAGGCATGTAAAAATATTTCGACTTTCGACATTTTACGTGCCGAAATTCAAAGTAATGTCAAAATTCTAATATTATGTCGAAATTCTAAATTATGTCACTTCTCATCAAAAATCACGTACAGTGGCTCCCAAAAAGAACGCATCACCTGAATAAAAATTTTGAAACGTAAATATCTCGTGATGCAGAAGCTGTTGCAATATAAGAAACCATTATTAGAATCATTATATCGAATGTATTAAAATATATAAATTTTTTTTTAGCAATAAAAAAAAAAATTATTGATTGTTGTTTGCCATTTTTGCGATGTATTTATTTTGATTGTTTTCTTTATTTCTATTTACTATATAGTAAACTTAATGAAAATCAAACTAAATACAAAAATATTTGAATATATAGTTGTTTACCATCTAGTATATCCACCTTTTGCTTTAATTACATCATTGATGCAAGCTGGCATAGATTTAATAAGATGCTTACATACATCTATTTCTAACTCAACTCAAAATTTTTGAACAGCTTCTCACAATTCATCTTCTGTTTTTATGTATCCAAATCTTTTCAAACAATGATCCATCTTATTCCATAAATACTCAATTGGATTCAAATCTGAAAACTGCAATGGTCAATTAAGCATCTCTATGCTGTTCTCTTCAAACCATTCCTTCATAAGTCTTGCAATATGCTTGAGATTATTATCTTGTTGAAAAATAACTTTATCTCTATTCAAATAATGTCACTTGATGGTTCTTAAGAGATTTTCCTATAAGATTTGACAATACAAATCACTATCCATATTCTCATTAATATAACAGAGATTATCAACATCATGTGAAATAAAGCACTCTTATACTATAATCTTACTATCTTCAAATTTTTTTGTAATCTGAACTTGGTGATCTTTTAATGGCTCATTAGACTTCTTTCAATAATATTCTTTCCTATTAGATCCAAAAATCATGAATTTTGTCTCATCTGATCACACTACCTTATTTTAATCTTCTACAGTCCAAAATTGATGCTTTTTAGCAAACATTAAATGTTTGTATTTGGTTTCTTTTGATAGATATAATTTTTTATACTTGATTTGAGTATTCAGTCCATTTCTATATAACATTTTTCTCACTGTATTTACACTAACATAAATTTCTTTTTTTATTTTTAGTATTTTTTAAACAATATAACTAATATTCACCACAGGTAATTATCATCTATAAATATATAAAAAAATTTATAACAAAAGAATATAAGTTATTGTATTTAAAAAATTAAATAAAAACTTAAAAAATTAAATAAAAAAAAACTAAGTTATTGTATGCAAAGAAATCTGTAAACAACACAACAGTGCCAGCAATTGTTTGTAGAGTACAACCTTAATAAATAATTCTAAACATTCATGCCAGCAATTGTATGCAGGGCATTCCATTATTCATTATTTGTGTGTTAGTATTTATGCGTAAGTCAGTGCATGTACCCTAAAACTTATTGTTGAATATGTACATACATTGTTTGCCAAATTTGTAGTAACAGACAATGAAGTTAGTTATTGTTATGCTTAAATAAATAAATAGGTAATAGTGATCGAACTATGATCGATCTTTATTCACTTGTGAATAGATTCACTCACTTATTGCAAAGTAATAATTTCGTTCACTCCTTGTCATTTTTCGTAAAACATATCAATTTTGAGTGCTCAGGTAAATCAAATAAAAAAATTTTTTTTTATCTAAGATGCAAACAATAAAAATTATACCTTTGAACAACTTGTGAATGATGCTAATAATGTTGTGGAATTATCGAATCTGTAATTACTTATACTATTTTTGTGTATTGATAAGTTCACTCGTGTATATATAATTTGAGTATTTTGGTGATGGTAAAGATAATTAACTGATAATTTTATCAGCTTTAAAAAATAGGGTTTAGAACTTAAATCTGGAGAACTTTTCACATCTATAATTAGCAATGAAAAGAGAAGTTTTGAATTAATAAAGGAATCAAAAAATGAAAGTATAATAGAAAATCATTCTTTCAAGAAAATTTCGAGCTTAATGTTGTTTAATTTTACAAAACAGAGTTTTGAAAGGTTAGTAAAAAAAAGCACATTATACAGAATTATGTTTTTTTAAGAATCTATATAAACTATTATAAAATTTCAAAGTTTTGAGTTCGTTATACTGGAGTTCATTATAGAAAAATCCTTCTAACTAGTTTTTGTAATGGACACAAAGTCATCCTACTATGGAGTTTGAAGAGGGTTTCGATTCAACACAAAGCTTAACTGATTTTCAATTTAGTAATTGTGATGATCATATTTTTAGTTTAGAAAATAAGACTAAGTAAGTTTTAGTCACTTAATTAATTTATTCATATATTCTTCTTTGTTTAATAATGGCAATTTTTAATTCTATACAAACTTAAGTAATTTGCTGATGTTTAGTTTAGAAAATGAAACTAAGTAAGTTTTATTTACTTATTTTATTTGTTCATTTCTTATTTGTCTAATAATAGATTATTTTTAAGCAGTTTACAAGATTCTTCCAGTGATGAATCATATCAAGGCTTCTTGCAGTTGTATGTTGGCCTTACATTTGATTCATAAGAAGATATAAATAATTTTGTAGAGCTATATGGAAAATATAAAGGTTTTTCTTTTAGACAAAATAGAACTGATTTTCATTCTGACTATTCAGGTAATGTTACAAATCATCAAAATTTTTTCAATCGGTTAATTGGTTAATTATTTTTTCAGTTGGCTGCAACTAATCGTTTAATTGACGAGTTGCAACTATTTTATTAAGTAAATAAATAATTTTTCAATCAATTAATTTGATTAGTTAGTATATAAAAAGTTCAATCGATTAGTTATCAACTAACCAATTAATTGATTTTTTTAACTTTCGATTTGTAACACTATATTCAGGTATTCGTCATCATAGTTATAAATGTTCTTATTCACGAGTACATAACACAAAAAAAATAGTTGATATTACTAAACAGCGTAATCGTCATTCTGTGGCAATTAACTGCCAATGGCATGTGAATTTTAATAATCGAAAGGATACTACTCAGATAGTTTGTACTTCATTAGTTAATGAATATAATTATGAAATGAATCCTATAATTGTTCAAACAGCACCATGGTTTCGTAAATTGTCTAGTGAAATGTTAAACAATATAGAATTTTATACATGTTCTGCAGAGGGAATGAGTGCTAAAATGCAATATAATCTTTTGAAAGCAAAATATCAAGACAAGTATATAGATAAAAAAGATCTATATAATGCTATTTAATAATTTCGAATACCATCACGTGATAAAATAAAAAATAATGCTGTGGAAACTCTTCAAAAATTAATAACATTGAAAGCAAATGATCCAGAATGGGTAGTTATACCTAAAATTGAAGGTGAAGGAAATAGGCTAACAGCACTTTTTTGGATGTCTTCTTTACAAGTATCACTATGGATTCAATACAATGATGTTGTAATCACTGATAATACTTGCAAAACAAATCGTTATGAAATGCTATTGTGTCTTTTTTTAATCATAGATAATAATACCCATTCACGTATCGTTGCACAGGCTTTACTAGAAGATGAAACTCAGGCTTCTTTTGAATGGTTTGTTTCTTTTATTATTATATTATTATTGCTGTTTTTTCTTTTTATATTACTGTTCATGTTCACTTTTTTTTTCTGTAATTACTATATATTAGTATAATTATATAATGACTTTTTTTACATTTTGAACCTATGTACTTATTTTTTCTTTCTGAAGAGTATCGATATAACTAGAGTTTAATGTATCTTTTATTCATATTACCATTTAGTATTCACCTTTTTTTATATTACTTATTATTCAACATTTTCTTTTTTTACTTATTTGTTTTTGTAATGCTGTTCGTATTCACCTTTTTTCTGTATTATTATTTAACTTTCAATTTTTATTTATTTATTTTGTATTGTCTTTTCTAATATTTATTTAATAATAATACAATTTTTTAGAGTTTTGGAGCAATTAAACAAAGTGACAAATCAAGTTATTCCAAAAACCGTTTACACTGATGCTGATCCAGCAATAAGTGCAGCTTTGTAAAATATATGGCCAAATACACACTATTTCTACTGTATTTTTCATATAAATAACAATTTTGTTAAAAAGTTAAAGGGCATTATGAGCAAAAAATTTAATGAATGTTACAGGCTGTTTTACTGATCTCAAAATAGTTTGTATGAAGATGATTTTGAGAGTCGTTAGGCACAATTCATAGAATTTATTAATTCATTTTCTAAGGCATTATGATATTTGCTTGAAGTGCTTTATCCTACATGTCAGAGTTGGGCAGTCTGCTATACACAGTCAAGGTTTACTGCCAGAATTCAAAGTACTCAATGAGTTGAAGGTATGCTCTATAAAAAAATCTTATCAGCAATGTTTGATTTTCTGAACATATACTGATTTTTTACAATGTTTATACCTAATGTTACCAAAAATTTTCAATATCATGCTGGTATTTGGAAAATTGACTTTGTTCAAACATTTTTTGAAAATGCCTACATACAATAATTGTACAATCTTTTTTATAGGAATGAATACGATTATTAAGAAGGAAGTATCACATAGTTCAACATTGTTACATCTGATTGATGCTATACAGACCTGTTTGGATGAAGAAGCATGATATGCCAGAATAAATGAGCAAAAAAATATCAATCCATCTATTGGCTTACCTCACATTGCTAATCGATACTTCCCTTCTATTAATTCCCTAATCCGGAAATATTTGACTTCACATATTCTTTCTCTTCAATGACAACAACTATCTGAGAGCTTTTTATATGATGCTTCTGAAATATTATATGAATGGGATAATAATGTATCAGAAACAGCAGATATTCTGGAGAATAGATATTTAGAAGATAATTATGAATGGCATCAAACATGTCTTAAGACATTATTGCAACCTCTACAACATGAAGATATTATGCAAATTTGGACAGTAGTACCTCAGGAATCATTTTAAGGCCACTTTAAACATTATGTAGTAATACTTACAGATGGTACACATTTATGTACCTGTCTTACTTTGGTCAGTAAAGGAATTGTCTGTCATCATTTTATAAAGGTTTTAATGAAATCACATCATGCTATGTTTCACATTTCCTTAATATCAGCCTGTTGGTATAAAAATAATAAAATAAATAAGGAACAGGATTTGGTTGCTTCATAACAACCTATTAAATTATATGAATCTACTGAATCTTCAACATATAATAGTGATGATATCTCTCACACAATTGATTTTTAGCATTTGTTTCATTTCTGTATTCCTAATGTATTTACTTCTTCTTTGCAAAAATCTGCTAATGAGAAAGTACGTTGGCCTAAAGAGTGTGAAATAGCAAAGAAAGCACTTAGTCTAATAATACGACTTAACTGCGATGATAAATTTTTAATATAATGGAAGAGTTTATTTCATCCAAAACACATGAGTTAAAACTTTTGGAAGAAAATAAAGATGCTAGCAATGTTGAATCACAACCTGCTATTACTAATCTATTCATAACAAAACATCATGGTCGCTCACCTAAGTGCTACAAAAGTTTACTAGAACATGTTACAAATACTCAAAACAATAAGCACAGTCCTATTACAAATAACAATAGAACACAAGAAAAGAATAGAAACAAATGTGCTAACTGTAGAAATTATAGGCATAATGTTCGAACATGCACTTACGAAGACTAGAAATGCAATTAATATTATAGAATTGTTATGTATATTGAGTTATCTTTGCATTTTAGTTTGGTTTAAGTTTATAATACTTTGTAACAATTTATTTTACTATTGAGTTCGATCTTATTAAGTTTTATTTGCTTATCTCTATTAAACAAGTCTATAATTTGAAACTAGTAATAAAAAATAAGGTGTATTTGGTGTGCATTTTATTTTATTTTACATTTAAAAACTACTACTGCACAAATTATTATTAGCCTGTATTTTTTAGAATTACAGCATATTGAACTCTTATTTTTAGTATTCAGATTGTATCTTAAAGCATAATTGTGATATTTTGATATATTATGCAATATGTAAGAATTGATAAGAGCAAGTGTTAAGATTTGTTATAAAAATTTAAGGTTTTATTACCTTTTTTGTTTTTTATGATATTATAAATTTGAGATTTTGATATTTGTTATTCTTTAATATTTCTGATTTTTTCCTATTAGGTGAGTTAAAAAATATGTAGAAATTTTGGCACAAGACTTAATGTGACGTATAAATAATGGAATATTCTGTTTAAAGTGAGATTAGATTATATTACTGTTAAGATAGTTTGCTGTTTGAGAGAATCTTTATAATGAGCACTCTTATTTAGTGTAGAGGTTGAAACCAGTATCGTAATCAGATTTATAACTGGATTTAAAATTTTTTAAATCAATCAACTGGTTTTATTATAACCGAATCTATCTGAACTATCAGTTTTATTATTATTATACCTGAATTTATTCAATTAACCAGTCATATTATAACTGGGTTTATTATAACTGAATCTATTCAATTGGTTTTATTTATAACTAAATTTATTCAATTAATTAGTTTATTATAACAAATTCATCTGATTAATCAGTTTTATTATAGACAAATCCAAATCTATCCAATTCATTTATCTTTATGCTTGATACCAATACTTATTCTCTAATTATCTAATAAGTAGCTGTGCAATGTTGTTGCACAAAACCAGAAATAGTAGAAATCTATGCAGACACATTTTCAGTTACAAGAAATCATATTCTTTATTGCAATCCATTCCTGGTATAAGAAAATAACTTTTTATAAATGAAGTCAATAGTACTTGCAATCTGAACATTAGTTTGAATTTCAGTAAGTCTAAAAACCTATTGATGATGTCAATGTCTGACTGCTATATAGTGTTACTTAGTCAAATACAAAATTCTGGGGTCCTGCAAAAAATATTAAAATCTACAAATATAATTTGGCACCCACTATGTATTTAGAAATGAGTGACAAATTCTTTCGATCAGCCTAATAAAAAATTTGATAAAATAAAATAAAAATTACTAGATATTTAGCATTGAGGCATTTAAATTTATATTGGGTCACTAATTTTTTACAATTGTTTGTTATTGTATCTCTGATTTTACAAATATATGCACTCGTTTTTTTTATTACTGAATGATAAATAAGTCATGCGGATCAATCAATTTCAAGATTTTGCGTACAGAAGCATTCGTTCCTAGTACCTACCTTTTAAAGTATTGTTTGGGGTGTTACACAAAGTTACAATGGCAGATTACCCAATCACATGCTAAGAATCGCACACACCATTTCACTCACAAGTAAACTATTCCTAGTATTAGCAATATAAGCCACAAAAATAACATGTCTGGGTTTTTTTGATAGTTATGCTAGGGAAATCCAGTATGATGGTTATTACTGTGGCTGTGATAAAACAGGATCCATGATGCAAAATAAAGTTATTCATATGTGATCTTCAAGATTACTGACTTATCCTTAAACATCTTTTGTTGCATTTCTAAATTACAAGAATCACAGTTATTGGTATAAGTGTCTTCATTAAATTTATTAATTAAATGTATTATCTTAGTTAAAATAAATTATTTTATTTATAAATATTAGAGCATGTAAGCAAATGCTATAATTAGTTATTATTATAATGAATTACAACAAATAATGGCATAATTCATTATAATTACAACCAATTATAGCATTGTGCTCATCTCTATATATGATTAACATTAAGGAAAAATAATTTAAACTTATTATTTTTCAAATTGCTTATTATTGCTTAATATAATAACAAATATTGTATTGGTTAGAATTTTAACTAGTTAGTCACAAACCTTTGATCAACTGATATTGGTTACAGTTATGACTGGTCATAATCATGACTGACCCACCTCTATGAAAGACTAATAAATTTTTAGAATTACATATAATGTAGAGGCACTTCATTCACTATAAAACAATGCATTTCATTGCATTCCATTACTGGTATAAGTAAAAACAAAACATAGTTTGACATTGTTATATTTTATCAAATTCAATTTAAACAAATTAACTTTTTTTTTTTTATAGAAATCATGTAATGTATATAAAGTCAAAACCTATAAGATCAGAAATAAAACAATTAGAAAACAAGACATGACTTTAAACCTAAAATGCATGCATACACACAAATAAGATATCTACATAGGTTTGTATAAGCTATATTAAATTGGTTGCATTCTATTTATCATATATCAAGCAAATCTCGCATTCTTTTTAGCATTATTCAGAGTATTATACAAAGTCACAAGAATTTAGTATTGTAAGCTGAATGGTTTTAATCAGCTGACTAAGCCAACTGACCAAAATATTAACTAAATAGTTAGTTAACAGCTTTTCTTACAAAACCTTTCTTATATTTTATGTTTATTATTTTTTATTTTTGAAATTTAGGATATCAGAATTTTAACTACTTATAATTATATGATCTTTAGTTATATTAGTTAGCTGACTCTTTTATATCAGCTGGCTTAGACAGCTAAGCTAACATAGCTGTGACTGCTTTAGCTAACTTACAATACTACAAGAATTGACTATCCAATCAGGTTTAAGATTTCATATATCAACATTTGAATTGCATATAAACCACTAGGATAAAGTAAATCATTATAATGGTAAGCACTATTTTATCAACTTTAAATCATGCAAAAACAAAATAAAATAGTTCAATAAAAACAAAAGACATAAAAATACTAAAAAAGTTATAAAAAAATATTAATAATATAAGTAAAATTTTGTGTAAAACAGGTAATAATCTGATAATCAAAAAGTCACAATAATAAATAGTAAGAATTTGTGTTCAAATCAATAACTAAATAAGTAATAGGCAGAGAAAACCAAAATATCTAAAAATAGTTTCTTTTTATATAGAAAAGTGCAATATTCTAAAAAGTTATTAGTAAAACATATAATTGAAAGAATAAATTATTATAATTACATGTTATTAGTTCTGGATCAGATTTTTCTGTGTTGTATTAAAGTTCACACTTTTTTGCATAAAAAAATCTATTTTTAGATATTTTAGTTTTCTCTGTCTATTACTCAAATAAGATAGTCTAAATACTTTAAAATACAAATATGATATTGATACAAAAAATTTATATAACTCACAAATTCAGATAAAGTTACAAGGATTGATCATCTAATCAGATCCAAGATTTTGTACAATCATGTTTAAATTTTCTATAAACTATACACTATATTGTATATTGTATAAACTCTGTTTCTGGTATTATTATATAAGTGATAGGTAAAGAAACTGGAATATCTAAAAATAGATTTTTTTATACAAAGAAGTGCAGACTTTAATACAACACAGGAAAATCTAATCCAGGACTGATAACATATAATTCTAATAGTTCATTCTTTCAATTATGTGTTTTACTAATAACTTTTTAAAATACTGCACTTCTCTGTATAAAAAAAACTATTTTTAGATATCCTAGTTTTTTTTACTCATCACTTATATACTGAAATTTATAATAAAAAAGTTATCTTTATTACAAAGTTGTATTTTAATTTTGCTTGTTTTTAAGAAAATATTAATTTTTTATAAATTATTTAACTGTATCAACATTATGTTATTGCAAAATATGTTTATTATTTTTTATTTTTTATTTTTTTTTTTAAATATTAATGGTGAGGCCATGTCTTTAACTTTATTAAAATTTAATTGAAGTTTTTATAAAAAAAAACTTGTTTTTAAATTACATATAATATGATTCTATATATAAAAAGTTTCTACTTGAACATTATATTAAAAAAAAAAAAAAATTTACATATAAAGAATAATAACTTAGATATATAATCTGCAATCTAAATTTACAAAAATGGTCAAGACTCATCTAGATTTGGGTTTGAGTAATAATATAAGAGAGATATATATAGTAATTAATCTATTAGTTAGTTCAAAGATCAATTTTAGTAATAATTTGTAATATTGAAATAGAATATAAAGGTAGACTAGAAGAATAACTATGAGTTAAGTTAGTAGAAAGTGTAGTTTAAGACTGTATAGAATGTGAAATACAGTATAGAATCCATATTTGTTTGTATATTTGTTTGTATATTTGTTGGTTTAAGTGAAGAAGTTTAATAGAAAGTGTAATAGCAATACAGTAAAAAATAGAAGCATTGTAAATAGTAGAAATAAGATTAATAAAAACTAAACTAGATAGAGTAAAAATAAGAAAAAGTATATATAAAGAGTTATGCAGTTTGAAACTGTTAAGTGTGAGAAATTTAGTATATAAATTAAAAACAAGATTAGCAGATATATCAAAATTAGTTGTATTTAAAATACTATTAAGAAAATTAGAGATTAAGTGGTAAATTGTTTGGGTTAATAGGCAGATAACTCAATAAAGTGAAGAGCTGGTTTGATTGCATTGATGACAAAAGGAAGAAAATAAAGAATTATATTTATGAAGAGTATAAAAAACAGAAAGTTCATCTGTAAGAATTTTAATTTAAAAAGTTTTCAGAATAAATAAGTAAAAGCTATAAGCAAAATTAGAAATTTTTTAATTGTTTTTGATGTAAAGCCATATAGTTATCTAGTTAATATCAAATGCAATAGTAGACTATTGTTGAAAATAATGTTGAGATGTTTAAAGTGAGCTTGGCATATAGTTTAAATAAAGTGTTAGATAGGAATT